GTTTGCTAGTGTTCGGGGAGTGTTACAATACCTCCCGAGATATGCGAGATTAGAATAAATTAGACCTCGGTAATAATATAAGGGAAGATGTGGGATTAAGACTCGTAAAGGAATAGGGGACAAGAAAAGAAGTTGAGAGATGACAAAGATGTCATAACTTCTACATGGCCTTCTTAGGTATCAAGTGAAAGGTTGATCAAAGAGATTGCAGAGGTCGAAAGAACCTTAGCCCTAGCTCAAAAGGTAAATGATATAGATATCCACATCTTACCTAAGACAATATTCCTGGAAGGAATTGTAAGGTTTGTGGAATAATTCGGAGCAGGAAATTATCTATAGCAAGAACCTTATAACCCTAAATTTTGAATCGAAGTTGATATTGCATTCAAATTATGAAATCTCTGTCATAAAGTCTCCAATAAATTTTTGAGTGTTTGAGCGATGGGGGAAATATACATCTCCGTATTTTAATTATTTCCTTGTCAGAATCACGCACCATCCGGATGGAACTCAGGGAACGACAGATCGGACAATTACACAGGGTAAGCTCGCCCCGATCTGGGGCACCGCTGACGGCAGTACATCAAGACAAGATAGCCGAGAGAGAAAGCTAAGGATGGGAATTGGGAAACATGACCCAAGAATGATGACTTTAGTGCATTTCATGGGGAAAAGAGAGGATGTTGAAATCGCATGATACGTCCATAGTGATGGTCGGAAACTCGATTGGAAAGTACAAATAGTCAGGAAAAAGGGCAAGAAAAAACGTCGCTTAATTTTATGGATTTCAAAGTAAAATTTTCAAAATAGAGTCCTGGTTAAGAAAGAAAATCGGATGCAGGCCCTCTCCGTACATTTCGTAATGTCTCATAGATGAAGCCATTATGATCCAATCCTTATGTCCAAGTTAGAATCCTTCTGCGATTACATTGATCATTATAATGGATAATTTATTTTGAATAAAATTGAATATACGAGTTACTGGTACTAAATACTTGAAATATGTGCATATTTGAGCGAAACCTTGGAATTTCTTTTCTTCTAATTTCTTCTATTAAAATTAAGATTTAATCATTATTAGAATTGTAAATCAAAGGGAATTCTGAAGCAAAGGGTTATTAAGAAATTAATTAGAAATATATAAATAATTTAGGATATGATTATGATATCACATGAT